ACCTTAGCTGCAATTAAATAATTTTAAGTAGAAACTTAAAGATATAACCAATCCTAGTTAAAAATTTTCATGATAATAATATCTATTAAATATAATTTAATTAATAATTTATCAATTTGCATTAAAATATAACTAAAATAGCAAAATTATATCACAAAATTAGATTATAAATTAAATTATAAATTTATAATTAAATTATATCATTATACTTAAATTATATTAAATCATAATATTATATTTAAATTATATTTATTATAGTAAATTATATATTTATAATATAATTTAATCTAGATATATTAGTATTCCTTAAATTATAAAAGTTTACAAATAAATTTACTTACTTATTTACTATAAATTCATTTTTGATTTACTTTTATAAAAACTAAAATTTTTTAGATTAATTTTATAATAAATATTATATCATAGTTTTAGTTATATAATAAATAATTTAAAGTTACTTATAAGTTAAAAATTTGTAATTTTTAAAAAATTTTATATTAAAACATTTTATTATTTATCTTTAATAATATTAATTATAATAGAATATTATAAAATTATTATAAAAAATAACTTTAATTATTATAATTTTTATAATTTATTAAGAAATTTTATAATTTTATTAGTAGTAAAATAATTTAATTATTTCACAAATGTATAAATTTTAAACCTAAATTATTTAAAATATTTCTTAATAAATTTAAAAAAAAAAAAAAAATTTTTTACTAATAAAATTGATAAAATATAAATTAAATTATATTTTTCATATATTATTATATTATTAAATTAATATTTAATATTTATTAAAAAATTAATACTTTTTTTAAGTTGCAGATAAATTTGCCTGCTAGATAGTTTAAAGAAAAATATAATTATATTATTTTAATTTAATTAACTTTTTTATAAATTTTCAAGTTAAAAAATTATTTAATATTCTTATATAATAAATATGTATTATTTATTTTATAAGAAGTTAAAAATATTATAATTTTTTTTAAAAAATAAAATTATGATATTCTTTCTTATAAAGTAAATAGATAATTTTTAAAAATATATTACTTATTAAATATAATATGTAATTATATATAATTAATTATTTAAACTTTTTTATATTATTTTTTTCTATACTTCTTTATCTTTTTAATTTTTTTTTTTTTTATATTATTTAATTTATATTTTTTTTATATTAATAATGATAATACAATTTATTTTATCAATTAAAAAGATAATTTTAAAGTTTCATTATATATCAAGAAATATAATATAAAACCTTTATAATAAGAACTTAAAAAAATATTAATAAAATTTAATCTACTAATTGGATTTTAATCAAATAAAAAAACATTTATATTTGTAAAAATGAATTAATTTATAAAAAATGTTTTTTTTAATTTTGTAAATTATGTAAGTATTATATAATAATATATGAAATAATTAGAAACTAGAATTAAAATTGTATAAAATAATTTAATTTATTTTATTTTATTATTTTATTATAAATTACATCAGATATATAATGATAAAACTTATATTTATAATTGCAAACTTTACCATTTATCTAGTAATACCTTTTTTATAAATATTTATATACTACTATGATTTTTATGCATATTTTTGAATTGTAATTAAAGGAATTGAATCTAATGCTTTAAGAATAATTATTATAATCTAATATATGTATAATTATAATATTCTTATGTATTTCTTTTATTATATTTTAATACATCTTTATATAATTCAATTACAATAATATTTAAGTTAAAATATATAAATGATAAAAGAATCATTTTTATAAATTTGTAATTACATATTTTTTTTAATTTTAGTTTATAATTAATTTTGAATAAATTTAATCTGATATAATTTATTAATATTGAAGATATTAAAATTTTAATCCAAGATTCTTAAATACAGTTTAAAGTTTATTTATTTTATAGATTAAATTTTTAATTTTATATAAATAAATCTTTTTTTGCATTTTAAATTTATTTTATTTTTACTATAATAAAGTTTTTATTATAGAGGTTCTGCACTATATAAATATAGACAAATCTAAGTTAATTTATTTATTAAATTTTGTAAATTCATAGTTATTTAAATAAAATTGTTAAATAGAATAATAAAATATTATTTAATCAGTTAAAATAATTTTAATAGAAGTAAAAAAATTTAATAGTTATATATATAAAGTATTATTATTAGATTTTATATTTTAACAAGAAAATATTTGAAAAATTAGAGTTATAAATTTAATATTTTTCAATTTAAAAGTTTAATTAAAAATTGATAAAATCAAATTTATATTTAATTCATTTATTATTAAAACAGATATTTTTAAATATTTTTGCAAAGTTTAAATTAGATTTAATTTTATTGTATTATTTAAAAGATAATAATATTAAAAGATTAAAAACTTCTTAGATAATTGAAATGAATAATAATAGAATAATATTTGAATTAACTAAGAAAAAAATTATATAGAAGAAATTAAAAGATTTATATATAATATTGATATTAATTTTATATTACTTAATATTTTGAAAAATATTTAAACTACTTAATTAAATATTCTAATAAAGTTAAGTATAATTATTTATTTGTATCAATTAATATATAAAAATATATAATTGATAATTGGTATTTAATAATAAAATTAGAAAATGGATTATATAATATAATGATATATAATATATATATTAATTCTAATTTGAATTTTAAAGATCATAATATTATTAATCATTCAATATGATCAATAAGTATTCATAATTTTATTGAATCTAAAGTTATATTTAATAAATTGATGATTTATTTATAATATAAAATAATTGTAAGTATTAATATTAATCTATTAAATATAAATAAGATAACACTCATCTTTTAATTATTATTAAAAATGTAATATTAAAAATTCAACTAATTATGTAAATTAATTAAATATGTAAATAAACATTTATTAAAATTTTTAAATTTATTATTCAGAACTATTATATTTTTTTTATATTTCTTTAGGTATTAAATTTAATTGAATAATATATAATAATATTTAATTTTATTAAAAAAAATAAATCAAATTATGATTTAACATATTAAAAATTAAAATTTTAAAAATTTTTATAAAAATTGTAATAATAATATTACTAATATTACTTTTAAGTATTATTAATATTTTTATTAAAAATTATTTTTTATAAAATAAAATAGAAATATTAGTCAAATATTAATCAATAAAAATGTAAATAAAGCACATCATTTAATATTAATACAAATTATTAAATTATTATTATATTTCAAATAGTTTTATAAATTAATGGTTTTTCAGCTATATATGAGATCAAAAAATAAGTAATTATATGTGAAAAATTAATATAAAGGTAATTATAAGTAATATTTAATATGAAAATTTATTTTAATAATAAATATCTAATTATTTATATACAGTCAATTTTCTGTATAATCAGAATCAAAAAAAAATTAATATGATTATTAAAAAACTATATGATTATAAAAGAGTATTTTTTTAATAAGTTCATTATTAACTTAGTTTGATAATAATGTGTTTATAGAAAAGAAGTGATTATATAAAAAGTAATTATATAGAGGTTAACTATATGATTAAATTCATTTTATAATATTTTTTTTCTAATTATTTTAATAAAATACTTTTATGAATAATCTAAAAAAAATTGAATTTAAAAATTTTATTATTATTTTTTAGATTTTAAAAAAAAATTAAGAATTATAAAAAACAATTTTAAGGTTTATAAGTTAAAGATATTTTAAAAAATATAAATAAATTTGAAATTATTGATAAATTAATAGAGATTTAATTTTTAATTTATAGTCGATAATTTTATTAATTAAAAGAGTGCTTTGGTTTTTAAAAATTCTTTGAAATCCTTGAGTATAATTATTGAATGAAAAAATACAGATTATGTAATTTTATAAATAATCATAATGCTATTTGTAGACAAACGAATCAAAAAAAAAAGTTGCAAGTAAAGAAGTAAAGAAATAATTTAATGAATTGTATAAATTTATTTGACATTTCATGCACACTTTTAGGAAATAAAAGAAACCAATCTAAAAATAGATTCAAATAGATTTGAATACAGTAAATTTCCAAAATCATACAACCACGCGTTAGCTAAATTAAGGAATAAAGCAAAATTTTAAAATTTCAAATAAAATTAATCTGAAATCTTCAGTTCTCATCTAATTTAAAAAATATATATTTTATCATCGTCTAATTATATTTCCACCGCCATATCTTGTTGAAATATCATGCAACCCTTTTTTTCATTGAATCCGCTAATTCTTGATGTTTTGATAGTTATCATTTTATTTAAAGACAATTTTGGGAACTCTCAAACGAGCATTTTGATTGTTCCTTATTTATTTTAACCAAATTCCCAAATAGGCCGAACAAAAAAAAAAAAACCTAAAAATGAATGTTACCAATCCTGGCATATGCATGCATGTATTCGGCCTAAACCTACATGGGAAGATTGCTAGGAAATGTAATAAGTTAGGTCTTAAATTTAGTCAAAAAATTTCCAGAGCCTGACTTTCCTAGCAAAGTTAGATTTTTTCAAATATTTTTACTTATGCTGTGCAGTTAATTTGAATAAATCAGTATCGGGATATTTAACAAGTTCAGTGAGAATCGGATTTTCATTTCATTTAACATGCAAATGATGTCCGAGATATTAAATTAATTTCAATATTTTCCGACAATTTTTGTAACGATAAGCTAAATTTGGGTTTTAAGCGATTTTCTTTTAGAATAATAAAATTGAAACCAATCAGACTCGAAACTGTAAAACATCCATGATGTTACATAATCAGTATTATTAGATAGAAAAAAAAAATATATTTAAGAGGAAGGGATGTAGTTTCAAAAAATACATTAAAAACAATTTTTTTTTATCCTTAAGTTCCCAACCACCACTTTCCTTCTTTCACAAATAATTCATTCATTATTCCTATTATAAAATAGAAACATAATGCAGCACACCAACCACATCATCTCCTCTCAATCCTTTTCCAAATCAACTCGCATACTCATCGTCTTTATACTTTCTTTAATTCTTTTATCAACATTAATCGAAGCAGCTCCCCCTTCTAAAAGAGATAATAAAGTTTCAGTTCAAGAATTAAAGGAATTAGAGAGATTTGCCAATTACGCTAGTGCTGCTTATTGTAAACCTTCCGATTTCCTCAAATGGGATTGTGGGCCTATCTGTGATGCAACCAAAGGCACCAAAGTCAGTAAATTCATTACCACAAAATCCGAAATACAAGGTATTTATTTATATTATTGGATGAGAGCTCACAACGTTAACCGAAACTGCGCTAACTTCTCTGATAAACACAGTTTTTATAGCAACCCTTGATGAAGAAAAATTGATTGTCGTATCGTATAGAGGAACCGTACCTGAAAATGTCAAAAATCTAATTACCGATGCAAAACTCATTTTAACCGATTATCCACCTGTAAAAGATGCTAAGGTTCATATTGGATTTTATCAAGCTTTTCTTGAAGTTCAATCTGACGTTTTCAATGAAATCCAAAAATTACATAAAAAAAATCCAAAGTACAAGGTCGTTTTTTCAGGGCATAGTTTAGGTGGTGGTAAGTTGCATAAACCGAAATTTTTTTTTTTTTTTTTTTTTTTTTTTTTTTTATCTCCACCTTTTTAACTTCGACACATGGTCCTTTTTATTTAGCGCTCACTTTATTATCAGCTTTGGATCTTTCACAAAACTCAAAAGATTTCAGTAAGGATAAAAATAATCTGTTCGTTTTTACATACGGTGAACCAAGAGTTGGTAATTCGGAATTTGCTGATTATGTTAATAGTAAATTAACTGTATCAAGAACTGTAAATGGAGGTGATTCGGTTGCCCGGTTACCTCCAAGACTTATTGGTTATAAACAACATCAAAATGAATTGTGGATATCAGATCCTACAAAAAGTTCATTTGAAGTGGTTAAATGTGATGGTCCCGAAGATCAAAAATGTTCTCTTTCGGTACCTGTTCCTAAATTAAGTTTATCATTTCATGCAGGTCCTTATTATGGTGTATCTATGCGAGCATGTAAAAATTTCAGTAAAATTCAAAGTTTGGTCGATGAACAGGAGTTAAAAAAGGCATACGAAGGTTTAGGTGGTGATCTTAAAGGAAAGAATAAATTTTAAAATATTTCATTTGTGGACATTCGGTTTATATATTTGAATAATTGTAATAATAGATAATCTTTAAAACTTATATAATCTTTAATAAAAATAAAAATAGAAATAATATTTTATTTACATTTATATAAATTTATCTCCTCCACCATTCTATATTAATGTTATACCATGTAATGTTTAAAATTTTGATCTCCTTTCCATTTTTCGTCGACCAATTTTTCACAAATTCTATATGTCTATCTACTTTAAAAAAATAATATTGTGAAAATTCGACGTAAAAATGGTTGAGATCTGCCGAACAATGTTCCAAAAATTTTTCGCACTCCACCAAACTATCTATAACCTTTAAAAGGTTAACATGGTATATTTGTTTGGGCAAAATCTTTGCCATTTCAATTATAGTTTCCGTGTTAAAATCATATGTATGCGGACCGGACGTTGATAACTCAAGTTTTTCCAGGGTTGACGTATCTTTTAAAAATGAGGAAATGTTCGAGATATCTTCATTTGATTTTACGAGCACGGAAAGGCTGACAAGGTTCCGACAATTGGAACTAACGAGACCTAACAGTCCGAAATTTTCTATCTTAGAATTGTTGAGGAAAAGTTCTTTTAAACCAAATGATTTCCTTTTATCAAGGAATATTTTTGCCATCGGATTTTCATTGGTTTCCTCTGTCCAATTTCTCGTAAATTTCAAACTTTGTAATCTTGGTAATTCCGCAAGTACAATCCATTGAAAATTCTCGGGTGAAATAAATGAATTCTCAAAATGCAAAGTTGATATATTTTTACATTTAATTAAAGCTTTTAATGCTTCTTTATCTCTCATAAACACATCAGCGATTTCAAGCTTCTTTAGCGAGTGAGCAACGT